GCCCCAGCAGCTGCCGCAGCAGCAACATCAGCAGTAACAACAGCAGAGGAGCAGCCCCAGCAGCTGCCGAAGCAGCAACAGCAACAGCAACATCAGCAGAAACAACAGCAAAGGAACAGGCCCAGCAGCTGCCGCAGCAGCAACATCAGCAGCAACAACAGCAGAGGAGTAGCCCCAGCAGCTGCCGCAGTAACAACAGCAACATCAGCAGCAGCAACAACAGCAGAGAAGCAGCAGCAGCAGCAGCTGCCTCCACCGCAGCAGCAACAACAGCAGAGAAGCAGCAGCAGCAGCAGCTGCCTCCACCGCAGCAGCAACAGACGACGACATCCAAACCTGTTTTGTGCTCTCCTGACTTTATTTATAAATGACAGAATTATAACAAAACCTCCACACACGTATATCAGAAAAACATAAAAATACAAACCCTAGTAAAAAATATAATTTCCCACTATGGCCACTAACAAAAACGAAGCAATTTTTTTTCTTAGATATATTTTTAGACATTATAAAGCTATAGTAATTTCACGGAATATTTTTTAAATGGATTCAACAAGAAGGTTGCGAGATAGAAGAGCAATGTGTACAGTGTGATGAGTTGAGAGAGACAAGTGTAAGTGTGGCATGGCTGGTCATTCCTGCTTCCCGGCCTATTGAATCCATCACTCCACATCCCCCTACTCCTCTGACGCAATGTTCCACCTCATATACACTCCCCCCCCCCCCCAGTCAATTGTCTTCCTGCAACAACATTCACTATTTCCCACATCTCTCCCTCTTATGCCGGGGCTCCTTGAGATTGACTAGACTTGCTTCAGTTTTTAAACCCAGATTTAGTAACTTGGGAAAGATAGGTAGTGTGGTTTATTTCCACTGGTGGTCCTTGGGTCTTACATAATGTGAAGTCACCCTGTTCACCTGTGTTCACCTGCTAGTAGGTGAACACGGGTAGCAGATGTAAGGAGACTTGTCCCTAATTGTGACCTCGCCTAACATTCTATGACACGTTGATAAATTAGACACATGTGCAACTCTTGGGTATCTTTATATAAAGATACCCAAGAATTGCACATGTGTCTAATTTATCAACATGTCGGTTCTCTGAACCATTCATCTACAAATTCTATGACACAGCTACAAGACATGAAAACTTGAGGGTATCATCATACAAAGGTATTACGATGTATTTAAGTAGTTTGTCGGTTATATCGTACCTGTACTTAAATCCCTGACTCATTGATTTTTCTGTAATCTAGCTGAATCAAATTATTTTCATAACACATCAGGTTAACTTTGGTATGATTCATCAGGAAATGGGACGAGTATTTCCTGACGCGGGTCTTGTCATATGATGACCCGCCACTGGAGCTTTTGGTCATCTGACCGAGACCTTCCACTGGCTTACCCCTCCACCCCTTTAAAAACTAAGGCTAATAACTGCAGTTTTACAGAATCACGTGTTAATAAAGTTTTACAAACAGAAACAGGTGTTGATAAAATTATTAAAATTTCTGATAAATCACCAAGATGAATTTCTGGGCAAAGAATTTGTAGCCCTAACAGGGTCATGTGTTCATTTTTTTTACGAACTGGGATAATTGTGGTTCTTTGCCGCCTATATCAGCTAACTCGTACATGAAAATTTTTTAGTAAGTTTATTTGGGTATAGATACACATAAATAGTTTTTTTTTTTTTGCATAATTTTCAAGCAACAGTTGGTAATGTTTTCATTTCACTGAATATTTTCCTGAGTCACACCACCAGCCTCATACTGCAGTAGTGAAAGGTTATTTTCGCTTTTGAAATCTAGTAAAAAGTGCTTTACGTGCTACAGTGGTTCAAGAAATTTTTAAATCTTATGCTTTTATATAATAAATGAGAGACGGTAAATTTGTTATTTTACATTTTTTCCCAGTTCATCTGGAAAGTTTGTTTTGGAAAAGTCTCGCCGAGATTTTATCTGATGATATATTTATACTCTAAAAATAAAACAATATCTAAGCTACGTGCATTGGCTTTGTTGAGTACTTTAATAAAATTATGTAATATTTTAATGGAATAATATTTATAATTTTAGCTCAGGCCCCCCAGCTCTGGGTCTAGTTTTGTTGCAAATCTTTTCCACCTCCAGTTTTAGAACATTTTTGAAAACGTTTCACAGCGAGGTTTGTCTAACTGAAAATGTAATGGCATTTGTATACTTGTGTCATGGAGTTGGTATCTCGGGGAAGGTGCCATAGTCAGAGCTTGCTACCACCTGCAGCTTACATGACTGCCATTCCCACGATCTACCCTGGGGCGAGGAAGATGGCAGAGCAGAGGCCTAGCTTCTCCCTACGAGCCCCATGAGGGCGGGGAATGGGGTTAGGCCTGGGGACAGTTGGTCCCAGAAGATGAAGAGGTACTTGTATTTCCTCCCATGGCAGACATAGGTCTCAAGACACTCCCAAGACAGGGAGCCAAGGCCGGGTTACCATTTGGAAAAGACCCGGGCCGGGAGAGTACCGGCGAATCAAAAAGGAGAGTTGGTGTGTAATTTCATTACCTATTATGTTTTCCAGCTTGCTTGGTCAAATGTGGTTCTATGCCGATGCTGCGTACTCTATGATAAGCTTGACATATATCAGATACAAAGTCCAAGAAGATTCACTGCTAAAGTCCTTGAAGACAGGGTGATGTTCACTCCAAGGTCTGTCTTCTGGAGTATATCTGTAGTTCCTGGCATCTCAGTCTATATTCCATCTCTGGTCTTCTCTCTCTCCTCACCAGTTTGCATGGTCTTGACCTTTTTTGCGCTGCAGTTAGAATGATAACAAATTCTCACTACAGGCAGCACACTCCACCAATATTCAATACACAAAACCTACTCACCATACAAAACATCCATACTTATTACTGCACCTATTACATACATAGAACACTTAACTCTGATATTAACCCTCCCCTCAAACATCTCCTTGCCAACCTCAACAGAACACATGACCATAACACAAGGCACAGATCACTCTTTGATGTTCCTCGTGTCCATCTCACGCTATGCAAAAACTCAATGCACATAAAAGGCCCTAAAATCTGGAATTCATTACCTGTAAATATAAAAGAAACACTACCTGTTTATAAATTCAAGTTCTTCTCAAAGATCACTTACTCACCCAAAACCAAATAAATACTGAATAACTGAACCTTATAAATTGTATATCTTAAATGTTTCTCACAATTATATCACATAAATGTTAAACCTAAAACCGAATCTAACTTTATTATTTTTTAAATACACTACCTAACAGAATCCTTCATATGACTGAATGCAACCATATGAGCTGTCTTTGTAATACTCACTTGTGCTTTATAGTAATCTGTTTACATTAATGTTTTATCACTGATTTCATCATTGCTTAGTTAATCTTAAGTTAATTTTAAGCCAGCCCGTAATGCTATGCATAGTATAAGTGGCTTTGGCATGCTGCTCTTATCTGTATTTTTTTGTACCTCTGTATGTGTGCTCAAATTGGTAATAAATAAATAAAAATAAAATAAATAAAATAAACTCCTATAGCCACTTGTTGACCATCGATGCAACTTGCTCACTTCCTTATGGATGTCTGTCTCTGTCCACTTCTGTTTCTGTGTTTTTCATTGGCAAACAATGATACATAGGATTCATTTCCTTCTGGTAGCTCATTTATATACATCAAGAATAGTAATGGTCATAGTACTGATCACTGAGGGATCTCACTCATTACTCTGACCATTACTATGGCCGCCTTTACCAGCATCCTATGTTCACTAGGCATTCTTGACTCACAAGCACTTTACCTTGTACCTCTGACTGCTTTTCCAAAATGTCAATTATTCTTTTCCTGGGCACATGTTACTTTTTGTTTAGTAATCCAAGCATATGGAATCGACATGCTTGTCTTACTGGCTTGATCTCTGTTATTGTCTCCTGGAACTCCAGTAGGTGTGCGAGGCAGAACCTGCCTTCAACTAAACTCATTCTGGTATATGCCTGTTTGGTGGGAGGAGATGGAGCAGGATTGTGTGCAAACTACACTAGTATGTAAGACAAACTCTGTCATAGAAAAAATCATGTTGTTTTGGTGATCACTTCTCTAGTATCCCTATTTAAATTGCTCCAATGATGATTTGTATTAATTATGCATATGCAGATGTCTTGTATCTACAGATTATAAAAGATTTTCTTTTATAATCTGTAGATACTTTGTATTATTATTATTATTAAAATCAAGGGGGAAACGCTAAACCCGGAGGATTATACAGCGCCTGGGGGGGATGTGGAAGGCATTCAGGCTTAATTCGGGGAACTGGAGCACAGATCCAATTCCCTAAATCAAGAGCCCCTCACCACCATCAAGGAACCTTCCTTGAGGGGTTAGATACTTTGTAAATAATACTTCTGGATACAGTGACAAATATAATCATGACAGGTTGAGACATGTTGATTCCCTGTCAATCAGTGTGACATTAATAAACATTAATGTTATGTGCAAGTGTCGTGCATCCATTGGGAAGAGAATATGCAGACAAAAAAAAAAAAAAGGTCCTTAGGATGACCATAAATTTGATCAGATATTTTATTTAGAATCCTTGGCAGGCTGACTGTACGTGTCCGAATGTTGATTAATTCCTTCCTGCTCTAGTCATGCCTCCTTGGTACTCCAGTCAATAGCCTCTTTCCTGCTGGCATGTGATTATCCTTGTCCTTCCATCTGTCCTAGCACAGTTAAACTTGGCAGGTTAAATGTCACCTCATTAAAAAAACCTAAGATTCTTTCCATCTCAAGATGTTCTCCTTGTCAATCTCACACAGAACATGGAAAGTAATGTATTATCATATATTTGCAACAAAATATCATTGTACAAAGTCTCTAAAATTAGCTGATGCATCGTGATAAGCATTGCTATCTAGAATGAGATATATTTGTAGAGTAATGAGTAAAAGATTAAGGCGAGGACGAGGTCGAGTGTAGGACTCGAGGCGAACAACACATGACGTCAGTGAATGTTAACATGGCGGTCGTGCGGGTCTATGTCGTCTTGATCTCCACATTTTTACTACTTTACTTTATAAATACGTCCAGTGCGCATATAAGTGGTGAGTAAAATCATGCGAGAAGGTCAGTTCTGCGAGTTACCGGAGCTGGATGCACTAGAAAAGTGACGTGAGTGCAGAATTAATGGAATAATGGGATTGCGTTGTTTTTCGCAAGGGTTACGAAGTACCTGTTGAAGGCAGCACACCTTGTGAGCTCCACCCCTGTACACCACCCCACCTCTGCTGCACCCCACCTCTACTGCACCCCACACAACCTCTACCTCAACCCTGTACTATGTACAACCTGTATGTACAGTAAGAACTAACCAGCTACCAGCAGTAATGATGTAATAAGGAGACAGGTACACAGTTTCTCACCTGTTTGTAGTCTCCTGAATGACTCTCACGGGTTTTGCACGTCATGTAAATATAATTACTAAAAGTTTGAATTGTACAAAGGTAATTTTGCTTTACAGTTGAGATATTTTATGCAAGGGGTATAAACTTAAATTAACTAAATAGTATTTCTTAACCTTATTCTGCCATCGGTACTTTGATGAACATCAAAATGGTATACAATACCGACAGGTTGTTAGGTAAGACACATATGCAACAGTTAGACAACTTTATTCCGAAACGTTTCGCCTACACAGTAGGCTTCTTCAGTCGAATACAGAAAGTAGGCAGGAACAGTAGAGATGTGAAGACGATGTAATCAGTCCATCACCCTTAAAGTCGTAGAATTTGAGGTTGTCAGTCCCTCGGCCTGGAGAAGTTCAGTTCCATAGTCAGGAACTATCTGAAGATCAAGCGACAGTGCGGAGACTTAAATACTGTCGGAAGGAGAGGTGCAGGGTAGTAGAAGTGGTAGTAGTAGTAGTAGTGAGAGGCAACTGAGAGGTCATGTCCCTCTCAGATCCAACCCTTCTCACTTGAAAAGCTTGTCCAAGGTGTTTTCTGTACCAAGATGCCACGTGTTGCAGTGTCTGACAAGATGAACATCAAAATGGTATACAATACCGACAGGTTGTTAGGTAAGACACATATGCAAACAGTTAGACAACTTTTATTCCGAAACGTTTCGCTACACAGTAGGCTTCTTCAGTCGAATACAGAAAGTAGGCAGGAACAGTAGAGATGTGAAGACGATGTAATCAGTCCATCACCCTTAAAGTCGTAGATTTGAGGTTGTCAGTCCCTCGGCCTGGAGAAGTTCAGTTCCATAGTCAGGAACTATCTGAAGATCAAGCGACAGTGCGGAGACTTAAATACTGTCGGAAGGAGAGGTGCAGGGTAGTAGAAGTGGTAGTAGTAGTAGTAGTGAGAGGCAACTGAGAGGTCATGTCCCTCTCAGATCCAACCCTTCTCACTTGAAAAGCTTGTCCAAGGTGTTTTCTGTACCAAGATGCCACGTGTTGCAGTGTCTGACAAGATGAACATCAAATGGTATACAATACCGACAGGTTGTTAGGTAAGACACATATGCAACAGTTAGACAACTTTATTCCGAAACGTTTCGCCTACACAGTAGGCTTCTTCAGTCGAATACAGAAAGTAGGCAGGAACAGTAGAGATGTGAAGACGATGTAATCAGTCCATCACCCTTAAAGTCGTAGAATTTGAGGTTGTCAGTCCCTCGGCCTGGAGAAGTTCAGTTCCATAGTCAGGAACTATCTGAAGATCAAGCGACAGTGCGGAGACTTAAATACTGTCGGAAGGAGAGGTGCAGGGTAGTAGAAGTGGTAGTAGTAGTAGTAGTGAGAGGCAACTGAGAGGTCATGTCCCTCTCAGATCCAACCCTTCTCACTTGGAAAAGCTTGTCCAAGGTGTTTTCTGTACCAAGATGCCACGTGTTGCAGTGTCTGACAAGATGAACATCAAAATGGTATACAATACCGACAGGTTGTTAGGTAAGACACACATATGCAACAGTTAGACAACTTTATTCCGAAACGTTTCGCCTACACAGTAGGCTTCTTCAGTCGAATACAGAAAGTAGGCAGGAACAGTAGAGATGTGAAGACGATGTAATCAGTCCATCACCCTTAAAGTCGTAGAATTTGAGGTTGTCAGTCCCTCGGCCTGGAGAAGTTCAGTTCCATAGTCAGGAACTATCTGAAGATCAAGCGACAGTGCGGAGACTTAAATACTGTCGGAAGGAGAGGTGCAGGGTAGTAGAAGTGGTAGTAGTAGTAGTAGTGAGAGGCAACTGAGAGGTCATGTCCCTCTCAGATCCAACCCTTCTCACTTGAAAAGCTTGTCCAAGGTGTTTTCTGTACCAAGATGCCACGTGTTGCAGTGTCTGACAAGATGAACATCAAAATGGTATACAATACCGACAGGTTGTTAGGTAAGACACATATGCAACAGTTAGACAACTTTATTCCGAAACGTTTCGCCTACACAGTAGGCTTCTTCAGTCGAATACAGAAAGTAGGCAGGAACAGTAGAGATGTGAAGACGATGTAATCAGTCCATCACCCTTAAAGTCGTAGAATTTGAGGTTGTCAGTCCTCGCCTGGAGAAGTTCAGTTCCATAGTCAGGAACTATCTGAAGATCAAGCGACAGTGCGGAGACTTAAATACTGTCGGAAGGAGAGGTGCAGGTGTCAGACACTGCAACACGTGGCATCTTGGTACAGAAAACACCTTGGACAAGCTTTTCAAGTGAGAAGGGTTGGATCTGAGAGGGACATGACCTCTCAGTTGCCTCTCACTACTACTACTACTACCACTTCTACTACCCTGCACCTCTCCTTCCGACAGTATTTAAGTCTCCGCACTGTCGCTTGATCTTCAGATAGTTCCTGACTATGGAACTGAAACTTCTCCAGGCCGAGGGACTGACAACCTCAAATTCTACGACTTTAAGGGTGATGGACTGATTACATCGTCTTCACATCTCTACTGTTCCTGCCTACTTTCTGTATTCGACTGAAGAAGCCTACTGTGTAGGCGAAACGTTTCGGAATAAAGTTGTCTAACTGTTGCATATGTGTCTTACCTAACAACCTGTCGGTATTGTATACCATTTTGATGTTCATCTTGTCAGACACTGCAACACGTGGCATCTTGGTACAGAAACACCTTGGACAAGCTTTTCAAGTGAGAAGGTTGATCTGAGAGGGACATGACCTCTCAGTTGCCTCTCCTATACTACTACTACCACTTCTACTACCCTGCCACCTCTCCTTCGACAGTATTTAAGTCTCCGCCTGTCGCTTGATCTTCAGATAGTTCCTGATATGGAATGACTTCTCCAGGCCCGGGGGCTGACAACCCCAAATTTTTACGATTTTTAAAGGGTGAGGGGCTGATTACATCGTCTTTTACATCTCTCTGTTCCCGGGCCCCTTTCTGTTTTTCGATGAAGAAGCCCATTGGGAGGCGAAACGTTTCGGAAAAAAGGTTTTTCTAACTGTTGCATATGGTCTTACCAACAACCTTCGGGTTTTTATACCCCTTTTGATTTTTCATTTGTCGACCGCAACAGTGGCATCCCTTTGGTACAGAAAAACCTTGGACAACTTTTCAAGTGAGAAGGTTTGGGTGAGAGGGACATGACCCCTCAGTTGCCTCTCACTCTTTCTACTACTACCACTTCTACTACCCCGCACCTCTCCTTGCAGTATTTAAGTCTCCCACTGTCGGATCTTCAGATAGTTCCTGCTATGGAAATGAAATTTCGGGGGAGGGGCTGACAACCAGCATTCTGTTTTTCTTTTATCCATACCAAAAAAAAAATAACAGGTCTCTCAACATCTCTACTTCTATCACTTGCGATCTCAGTTTCGAAAACATAGATGCAACCTTGGCAAGAACGCTACCTTGATTGCCGTTTTTCTTGGCCACAATAGTAGCGATGGTTTGATTGGGGTTATTGTGTACAGCCTGCCAGCCTCGGAGACATGCACTATCCACTTTCATACTTAGCAAATGATCTACTTGTCTTCATACCCAAGTAATTCTCAAGCCTTTTTGCTGTAGGGTTGGCACAAGAAGCTTTCCTGGGGCCCATGGTGAACCCTTTATTTTGCAGTGCAAAAATCACTAAAAAGGCTGTGATAATATGAAATGTTCCGATCGTATGCTTGAAGCGAACGCAAGTGGCTGGCTGGCTTGTAAAACACCTGGCCAAAAGTGGATGCATCTCAGACGGAAACGAATAGTGGTTGGTCGAGTTTTTTTTAAAGCGCAAATCGAGGCAAAATTTTTGCAATAAAATGTATCGCTAGTCAAGGTTTATCGCTAATTCGATGCCCATCACTGGTCGAGGGTCCACTGTAATATATATATATATATATATTATATATATATAAATATATATATAAATATAATATATATATATAAATATAATATACATTCATACATTCACCACATACATACACACAATACACGTGTGGTGTGTCCAAATATGCAGTATTAGATGCATATCCGTGTATAACATAGGTATGGCCTATGTAACATATGAGTCGGTTATTTTCGCTTTTGAAAATCTATAAAAAAAGTGCTTTTACGGTGCTTACAGTGGTTCAAGAAATTTTATAAACTTAATGCTTTAATTATAATAATAAATGAGAGACGGGTTAATTTTTTTATTTTACATTTTTTTCCCAGTTCATTCTGGAAAGTTTTGTTTTGGAAAAGTCTCGGCCGAGTTTTTTATCGATGATATATTTATTAACTCATAAAAATAAAACAATAATCAAGCTACGGTGCATTGGCTTTTGTTTAGTACTTAATAAAATTATGGTAAGATTTTAATGGAATAATATTTATAAATTTAGCTCAGCCCCCCAGCTCTGGGGTCTAGTTTTGTTGCAAGCTTTTCTCACACACCTCCATTTTTAAGAAACATTTTTGAAAACGTTTCACACGAGTTTGTCTAACTTGAAAATGTAATGGCATTTGTATACTTGTGTCATGGAGTTGGTATCTCGGGGAAGGTGCCATAGTCAGAGCTTGCACCACCTGCAGCTTACTGACTGCCATTCCCACATCTACCCTGGGGCGAGGAAGATGGCAGAGCAGAGGCCTAGCTCTCCCACGAGCCCCATGAG